TCCACCCACCCCCCACGGAAAGGCAGGCATCCCTGCCATTTCCAATTAATACAGCCAAGCTTCAACATTTGCCCTAGCAGCAATATACCCATGGGAGTGCGATGGCTTTCCTCTAGTTTTCTGAAATGAGTAAAACTTGGCTTTCTACCTGTCTTCCTCCTCCAGCATCAGCTTTACAGAGCTGGCAAGCAATACGAAAAAGAAGGAAAGATACGAACTAGGCCGTCTGTCGTTGGAGGGTATGAAAGACAGTCTTAATAACAGCAGGAGAGAGCGAAGCAGCCTATGGTTATTTTTGACAGAATCGGGAGAGACTCAGATTGCAGTTTCGTAAACAGTTCATCAGAGAAAAATTCTGTCCAAATTGGAGAAGCCCCTTTGGCCAAGCTAACAGAAATACATAGCTCTTGTCTGGTAAGAGAGAAGTCTTTCGAAAATCAAAATGCTTTTCTTCAGAGAATGAAAACAAAGTGTCACACACACACACACACACATGCACCGCATGGTGTAGTAACACTAACTTGTATTTTTGCCGTTGCAATTTCTCGCTTGCAGAATATTCTGAGAAAATTCCTGGGCGATGCTAGCCTGTGAATGTCCTGCACGACACACAGCCATGACTATGCAATGAAAAGAAAAACATGGACTTTTTCCAGCATCACCCAACCACAAGGTCCTCTTGACACGCTGTTCTGTGAAGCTAGAGGTGACGCAGAGAGGCAGCACCTGAGAAATGCCTGGCACTAGCCCAATCTGCCCAGCTCAAATAAAAATGTTTGGTTTGTCTCAGTGCTCACCCACCTCTGAACATGAAGTTAAGAATTAGTTTTGTTACTAAATGCCAATTAGATAGGATAAGGGAAGTATTTATCATGCATCACAACGACAAGACTATCAGATATTTTTCATGGCAATTTTTTTTTGTTTCTAACATTTTTCACATTTTCTTACACAGAAATCATTAATAGTCAAGCGATATTCACAACAAACTCAAGAGGTTTCTGTATCGAGCAACCTTGCTGGCAGACTTAGCCAGGAGGAGATACAGTAGAGCCAGCAGGGCTCCTCCAAAGCTTCTGAAGGAAAAGCTGGCCATCAGAGGAGCTTGCTCCTTTTTTCAGGGAAATGTAAGTTTGAAGGTTACTCTGTCTTTCTTGAGGATTAATTTCATTTACTCATCAAAACATATAATGCCTGAAGTGACAGAAGAGCATCATCTCTGCATGGCTGAAAAGAGTCCAAGCAAAGGAAACCCCAAACCCAACCACTCTGCAAAAAGAATATTGACTATGGGGACTACAAGCCTTCATAATTAGTCTACAATGATTTGCATGACCTGTGCTTAATCCTTACACCTTCCAGCTGCCTAACAGACAGGTACAGTATAACGGAAAACACTACAGAAACGAGAATCAATGGTTTGCTTCTGTCTAACCACAATATCATTCTCACTTCATTTACTGCTTAGTGGGAAGGCATTTCTGTGGCCTGGGAATCAGCTCCTTCTAAATGGACGAGTCTCAAAGTTCAGCATTTTAGTGGTTTCAACTAAGCAGGAGTTTGCTCATCCATAGCAGCCTGGACTGCAGAAAATCCAGTTGCTTGACCTCTTAATGCTGTCTTCTATCCAGCATTACAAGAAAAAGGCACTTGGTGAGGGCTCTGTGCTAACATAGCAGGGGGCTACATGCTACAATACATCAGTCCTGGGGAATCGAGGGAGATGGAAGCAGAACTACATTGAAACACTCCACCAAAAATACCTTTTGCTTCTGAAAGGAATCATAGAATGGATTGGAAGGATTTTAAAGATCATCTAGTTCCAGCCCAGATGCCATGGGCAAGGACATCTCCCACTAGACCAAGTTGCATAATGCCTCGTCCAACCTGGCCTTGAACACTTCCAGGGAGGGAGCTTCCATAACTTCCCCGGGCAACCTATTAGAGTGTGTCATCCCCCTCACAGAAAATTTCTTCCCAATATCTGATCTAAAACTCTCTTTCAGTTTGAAACTGTTATCCTTTGTGCTATCCCTACACTCCCTGATAATGAGTCCCTCCCCAGCTTTCCTGTGGCCCCTTTAAGTACTGGAAGGTCGCTGTAAGGTTTCCCCAGAGCCTTCTCTTCTCCAGGCTGAACAACCCCAACTCTCTCAGCCCCCAACTCTACTCAAGGAGGAACAATCTAGCACAGGGACTTGGTCAGCAGCAAAGTACGGTGAGATGAACCCCCTTCCTGATATTGCTGTGACACCAAAGCACCAAGTCTTCTAACCAGAAGTGATAGATGCAAGCAACACAAAACGAACTAATAACAATCAAAGCACAACACGGCTTAAGTCGGGGCAGCAAAGAAGAGGCCACTGAGAGGATCCTCTGCCTTGTAGCAGGGCAAGAAGGAAACGCTGAGCCTTGGCAGTGCTTTGCACAAAAGCACAGGAGCACCCAAAGTTGGGCTGTGTGCCTCACGCCCTGGCAGTCACCTCCCACTGAACTGGAAATCTCCAGCGAGGGCTGTTTTGCACCATTAGTTAGCTGCTAGCCCACAAAATCACTTTATGATACTCTCTGTAGCATGTGCACTTTAAAGGTTTTTAGAAGCAGTGGCAGGAGTGCAGTAAGAATGAATAACTCTCTAGTAACCTTACAGCCAGGCGCACATCTACGCCTCTGAGCTGCACTAATTATTTATAGTGCTAGCAACACTTTCATGTACCAAACCTGAAGTGTAAAGGAAAGTATACAGCTATTTAGGGAGAAATTTGGTGAAACAAAATATTCACTTTCATTCTACATGTAAGCACATGTTATACCTACATTGCTATAAGACACAGAATTCTCATGTGCCTAAATATGCATAGATGTACAGTGAAAGAAAGCAATATAGTTAAGGACAAATACTTTACATGTGTATGCAAAAAATGCAAGAAGAAAAACAAATGCTTCGTTTTAGAAAAAAACCAGTGCCAAAAATCAATCCATCAACATGTCTACAGAAAAGAAATCAGATTTTGGAAAAAGGGCAGGGCGACTCTATTCTGTAATTTTTCTTGCCTCTGGAGCAATGACGTAGCAAGAGCCCACTGCTATAATTTCTCCTCTTTTGTATCTTTAAAATTATTCCCACCTGGGGTGCAAAGAGAGGAAACAAAAGGAAGCGGAAAATTATATTTTTCATGAGCTAATCCCAGGAAAGTGACCGCTCAGCTTTCCATGTTTCTTGCCAATAATAATTTAAACAAGGACGGCAATCTTTTGTTATTTCTGCACAGTTGGAACACACGCTTTCAGATAACAGATATTTAAACTGCAATTTAAGAAGAGGAGGAAGACAGTAATCGATAAGTATTCAGGAGTCTTCCCCTCTTAGGACTGCTGCACACCTCAACACATGCTTCAGAACAGAGAGCCCCGATGCAAACCTCTTTGGAAATCCTGAAGGCAAGCAAGATCATCAGAAAAAACCAAACAAATTGAGAGCAAAGAGAGCACAACTACCGTACCTTTACTTTGGGGAGGGTTTTGACTTCTGTCTCGGAGAACATTAATCTGGTAGACAGCTCCATAAGGCTCAAAAAGTTCTTTTAACTCTTTTTCTGACCACGAACGGGGAATCTGTCCAACGAACATCTTAATGGCATCTGGGTCTGGTTGGTCTGAATGATCCAAAGCTCCATTCATCTTGTTAGCTGTGCCGTTACTAGAAAGTGGAAAAGGAGATTAAAAAGAGAAGGCAAGTCAGGAGGCTACGCAGTTTTCATGTGTGCTAGATGCAGAAGATGATGTCAATTGGCACAAAGTAGAAAAAAAAAATCGGTATTTAATTAATAGCATAAGTATCGTGAACAGCAAAACAATGCGATTACATTTTTCATTGAGTCTGGTTTTCTCTGCAGGCTGCTGCTTAATGTCATTATATAAGAAGAGAGCGGCGCAACGCAAACCAGGACTTTTGCATTTTAAAGCAGAGCATAGTTGCAAATAAGTGCAGATTTCTCTCCATGGCTGTTGTAAACAGAACTGCAGTGAATTCTCACTGAAGTGGCTACTGGCAGAAACAAGGCAGTGCGTGTGTGCGTGTGTTTTGTAATAAAGTCACATGAAAGGAATATGAAACACTTGGCAATCTGTCAGATGACTAATGCAAGATGCCAGCGATGAATTTGCAGATTGTGTGAAGCATCCATGTGTGCATCAAATTAGTATGATATTGCCTAGAATGGAAAACACTCCAGCTATGTGGCTAGTTGCCGCCGAGCAGTTGCCTACGCTCTTTAAAAAGGAAAAGCAGTCTGCAGAGTTCCAGTTTAAAGCACATTGTTTATTGCACCCTGGCGTGAAAAAAAAATAAAAAATCACAGTTCAAAAAAAAAAAGGCAGTGGCAAAATAGCTTGCTTTGCTGGGAGAATTAAAATGCCCCTTTGAAAAGTTTTTCTCCTTGCAAAAGGACAATAAATTTCTGAATTTTTTTCATATCCTCTAAATTGTTACCTATCTGATCTCCAGATGCACATCCAAATTCAAAACAACCACACATTTTTGCAGGGGAAAAGAACTTAGTATCAAAAAGCAACCTGCTCTGTGAGACAAACGACATACTGTAGTTCAGGAAGAGTTGTACTTTTACAGGAAAACCAAATCAGTGTAAATACTGAACAAAAGCAAAAATACAAAAAAGTACTGATAATCAAAGGCAGTTATTTCAACTAGAGATTCCCTAAGTGATGATAATTTTTTTGATGTTTCAGTTTCAAGAAAGAGCATTAATGAGACGTGACTTTTAGAGCATCCCCCCAATCTTTCCACGGGGAAAATGAGGGAAATGGCCCATGTTCAGCAATGTCGAATGTTAATCATCACAGAATTCAGGTATTCCAGAGCCACTTTCAAAAAACTTGGCTTTAATCACAATTTCTCTGTTTGATGCTTGTTCAGGAGAGAATGCCCACAGGAGGACTTGGAAGAGCTCAAAATCTGCACAAACAGATAAAAATCACGGTTTACATGGTGAAAAAAATAATAATCTAAGAATGGCAAGAAAAAAACAACCTTGTGTAATTCCCTTGTCTCACAGCTACAACCTGTGCAAAGACAAATTATTTAGCTCCATGTGTTTCATCTCCTTGAAAGATTAATTCACCTGAACACATTAATATGCTTATATTAACTTTAGCACTTTCCCTGCTTACGGCAGGAAGGAGAAAGTTATATTAAAGACACATTTTAAACACAACAAGAAGTTTGGTCATCACGTGTAAAATGTCTTCAACACGGATCGGCAGGCAACAGGATTTATCACACTCATTTATCAGACAAAATTCCTCCTGATTCTAGCGGGAGTCTTGCCTGAGTATAAGACTGAAAGGTTTGGTCCAACCTTTTATATTGTGTTTCACGCACAAATATCTGCTTGTCTTACACACGCTCTTCGTTTTGAAGATGTTCTACACATTATGAGCACATGTGGAGAAATCACAATTCCTCCAGGCCTTAGAAACTGCATTTTCCATACATGTAACACTTAAGCCAAACCAAACCAACCAACCAAAGAACCAAAAATCTCCAAGAAACAGAAAAACCCTGACTGACTCTCTTCAATGATATTCCATGGGAAGAAATTTCTGGATTTGAACGGAGCAGTAAGCACCTACATGACACACCTCTAGAAAATCAGTACGTTATTTCTTTCCAATCTCTATTCCTTTATGCAAAATCCAATTTGTTAAACAACCTCCCTAGTAGGGAGGTTGAAGAGTTCCTGATCCATAGGTTAAAAACACTAAGGAAAACATTTACACGTTATTTCGGACCTGCAAAGACAAAAAGAAGAGAGACGCTTAGCTGTGCAGCCTCCAGCTTTGCCCTGGACTCACTCAAATATCTTTTTTTCAGAAACAAGCTTTACTTTTTGCTTCTTTTATTCTCTACATTGTTTACATTAAAAAATGAGTTCATTTTGAAATTACGCCCTTCATCTATTCTCTCTGTGGGATCCCTTCTTTAAGAAATCCATGCACAATTGCTACTTCAGCCCAAAATTACAGCAAAGGTCATATTTAATAAAGAATAACAAGTTTATTCCTTTGCTTTTTACTTTACCAAACCACCTTTATCACCAGAAGACCCACAATTTTCACTGCTAACAAGGCGATTTTTAGGAAACCACAAAACCAAACAACTCAATGTGTTTTCTCAAGTTAATGACCCCATTAGCATCAAGTTCCTGCTTTGAGCTAAAGGTTTAGGCACAGAACAAGATCTCTTCCAATTCCACAGAACTCTTAAGCCCTTTCTTAACTTCGGTGGAACTAAAGCCAAATTGCATTGATTATATTCCTAAAATGCTTTACTGGGAAAAGATGATTGAAGGCTCTGACTCCAGGCATAGGCTGCCGTATGCTGTGATGCAAAGCTCCTGGGGACAGGTTTTGTCACTCATTACCTGAATTAACTTGGGTAAGTCATTCAAACTTCTCTGGACTAAATTCTACCTCAGAGGAGGGATCCTGCTCTCACTGTTGCAATTTTGAGGAGCACATGGGCTCTGTGGCACTAACGGCACTTGCTGCACCATCCTCACCCAGCTCCAGCAGTAGTCCTGGGACTACAGCCAGTGCAGACAAACTGAACAAGTAAATAAAACAAAACAACAGAAGGATAACAAGGGAGAATAATAAAAACACGACCAACTTTATAGATTCTGTGCATCTCATCCCTGCTGTGTGCTTGAAGGTTCCACTGAGAAACACAACTATACAGCACACATCGGCCTGAAAGTCCAGTTGGGTCAATACAAAATCCAGCCAAATATTCTTGTTCCCTTGCAAATAATCTCTGCTAAAGACAAGTTTCCCTGTCTTCTCGCAGCCTTCATCTTCACCCAATGGACATTACCGCTCTGCACTAAGACTACTCAGTCGCCGAGAGCTGCAGGGGCTTTTGTTTCTTCTCCTTGCCAACACAATGGCCTCGGAGGAAGTGGCTCTCTCCTTCTCCATCTTCCCGTCCTGCTGTACCCAAGAAACAACAAGGCAAAAGAGAAATCACATGTGAAACTTTCCAAGAGGAAGCAAAGCATCCGTGAGAAAGCTTAGGACTATTTCTTGAAAGCAGGAGTATACAGAGATAGCTGTGTCTAGGGGATACTAATGAGAATGCGGTCCCTTGACAATTACTGTCAGTACCCAAATGATGACACACAATTTTTAAAAAAAGGAGGAAAAAAAAAAAAAAGATGAGATTGTGTGGCTTGCTGTTTCTACACTACAGCAATCCTTCCCTCCGTGGCCAATTTAGCCCACTGGACTCAGGGGTGACCCAGCACATCATCTTCACTGACAAGGTGTCATCCGTAGCGTAGAGAGCAGCCTGAGGGCAGAGATTAAGCCACTGAGTTGTGGGCTGCTTGTGGTTGCTGTCAGAGCATCCTCTCTCTCAATTTGTGCCAATTTTCCTTCTAATAACCTAACTACCATTCCATCACTTCAGCAAGTTGACAGGGCCACTCTTTGAGGAGCTAGAGATTGTTTTAATATCGTTGCTGCTTAAGCAGGAGCACCGGAATAACCGAGTAGACGCCTTCTCTGTCTCTCCCATTCATATCCGTAATTACAGCAAGACTGCTAAAAGCTAACTGACCGCCAAGGAGAGTGAGGCAGACTTCAGAAACGAAGTCCAGATCAAAAGGGACTCTCCGAAATTCATCACTTTTAAGAGCTTTGGCATTAATCCACACTCATTTCCATTAACGAACTAGGTGTCAAGCCAGGTGCTGAAAAACAGCTGTTAACAGGCACCAAGCGGGTTTCCAACTTTGAACTGTTTTTAACCCTGCCCAGAACTCTTTGCACTGCTCCATTTTGGTTAACTCATGTCTCAACCTCTCCCCCCGCCCTCCTCATTTTAGTGGTTTTACCATTTTGCTGGGGATTTGCCTTTTACACGTTTTATGGTATAAGACATCTGTAGAAGAACGTCAAACTACCTCTAAGAGCCTGTGTAACAACAAGAACATGATAACAAACCAGTTCCAAGTGTAAATCCACTCCAGCGCAGAGGCATTTACAGGTATCAGAGTTTTACAGCAACAAATCGTTCCGGCTGAGCTGCGGAGTCACTGCCAGGCTATCACAGGAGCTGACAAAAGGGACAACACCCGTTTGAAGGACGCCAACTGCCATCGAGAGAGACGCACAAGCATCACCTTACCACACTCGGAAGATCCTAACTGCAGGTTTACGAGCAAATTTTATCTGGAAGGGCCCAAAAGGGCTTTATAAACTCATTGTTTAGAGAGGAATGACCTCATCGTAAGGTGACAGACGGCAGCTGTTTAATGACGTGGAGCATTATCGCCCAACAGTTTTAGCAAGGAAGGGTAAAACATTACCCTACCCAATTGAAAACTGCAGGGGGTTGCGATTTATAGACGTAGAATGCAATTACCTAAATTGGATTTGGGCCAGCAGAATAAGGGCCAGAACCTCTGACACACAAAAAAGGAAGCTGTTCCATATTTTTAAGCTGTAAATGACCAGGGTTCTGTGTTTTGGGGGGGGGGGAAGTCATCTCTATGAGCTTTCTAGTCCAACAGCATTTTCACAGAGCAGTTGCTCAAAAGCAGCTCAAAGGAAAGACGACGTTTCAAAAATCATTAACGGCTCCTGCTGCAGTGTCTTGTATAGTTTTTGGCA